TTGTTCGCGCTGTTCTGCGCATCGCACTGTGCACTTCAAACCGTCGCACTGTTTTGTGCATTTGAAAGTTGTTCGCGCTGTTCTGCGCATCGCACTGTGCACTTCAAACCGTCGCACTGTTTTGTGCATTTCAAACCATCGCACTGTTTTGTGCGCGCATAACATAGTAATTCTAGGCTAATAATTGGTTTAAGAACACATAGCGTTTTCAAAATCGGATATCATGGTTAGTAGAGGCCGGTCTTCGGACTGGGCGAAAGGGGGTGCTCATAGCTGACCTTCCCCGATCGTACCCAAGCTCCCGAGCCGAGACAACTCCGGTGATGACGGACATGTGGCCTTCGGCACCGAGTCAGGGTTTCCTAAATTCCCCCATTTTAAAATATTTAGGTGGCGACTCTGTATCTGGCAAAGCAGTCCATGTTTGGCACTACTTTTTCAAAAATCTGTTTCTCAAAACGATTTGCCAGATTTGGACTCTTTGGTTCAGATTAAGAATTGATACACAAATCGAGTCCGAACTGTAGCGAGGTCCCCTCCGCGGACTTGTTACAAACACTAAAATGTATATCATTATCATTTGTGAAGTATGAAAGTGGTTTTACGTGTTATTGATACAGCACCAAAATGTGTATCCATAATGAATTTTGAAAGTATTTTAGTGATGAGTTATAATTTCATTAAATTATTTGGCCAGACTCTGAGCCTTGTTTTCAAACTTGATGACGAATAAGGAATGGAAGATGAAATATAGCATGGGCATGATTGTCATGAAACTGTAATATGACATAAGTTGGAATATAAGTGTGGACCATCTATTGAATGTTATTATTTTAGTCATTGTTTATAGTTGATTTAGTATATTTCTATTGGGTTGTGGCTCACCCTATATGGGACTTTTCAGGTACCGACGGTATGCCACCTCCAAGAACATAGCTTGGGAGGCTAGAGGCAGACAGACTATTTTGTTGTTTTGTTTTCTTTGGATGTATTTCATGTAAATTCAAGCCAAGGGCTTAATATGTATTTGAGTTAGTACTCTCACTTTGTAACCAAGTGTTGACTTGAAAATTTGTAAGCTTATAGGGCAGTTACTTTTGTTGTCAACGTGTAATACATTTCGTAAGGATACTCTGATGATTGTAATATAATATCTTTTTCCTGTAACTTGACTGTATGATATTATGGGTTTATTTTGAGGGCGTGACAATTTTAATGCATTTGGAGTTTTACATAAGCTATTCCAATTGGAAACAAAGGCATACTTCTATACTCATGTGCTTGAAGTGTTTTTTAGTGGATTAATGTCTAGGAGTTGTAAGTCTTATCACATGATAACAGCAATTGGCTTCTGATCTAAATTTTTATTAATAGACTTGCTTCTTGTTTTTCACACAGATGCTATGATCAAGCATTTGGAAGCAACTGTATCTGCTACCAGATTGGATATGGAGAGCTTAAACTCAAAGATGGAAGAGTTGCATGTTGGTTTGAAATTTAAGGAGGACGACATTCAAGTTTGAGAATCTCAGAAGAGATGTAGGAGAAAGAAAAGAATGTTCTAAAATGTGTGTAAGTGACATTGAATGAATTGACAAAAAAAATGTAGATATCCCTCACGAGGATGGAGGACAAGGTGAGGATGAGGGACACGAAGAAGAGTTGGGAAGTGATGAAGATGATGATGATGGGGGAGACGAAGAAGAGTTGGGAACAGAAGATGTTAAAGACGGAGATGGAATTTCTAAGGAGCCTTGACCTTGGCCTTTTCATTGTTTTACTATGCTTAGACTAAATTAATAGTTGAATATGTTATGGGTTTTGTGGTTGTCCCAATTTTTTTATGAACACTTTTTGTTTACTTTTGGGAGTTTAGTATGATATGTTTTGTGTATAAAAAATTTCTTATGGTTGGTGTTTTGGTGAATATGACCTCACCAGGTTGTTTATTATTTGAAATATGGTAGTATATTGCCTTTTTCTTTATTTATTTATCTTCTTCTAAATTTTGAAAATTGTCAATGAGGATAAGTTGCTTAATGTTTGAAATATGATGTATTTTTCTTGATGTTTTAATGTATTGAATAGTAATTTATGAGGAGATTGTGAATGATACAATTTGTTAACTTCAAACCTTGTCATTATAAAAAAAAAAAATCTAATTTGGAAGCCCATAGCCTAACTAAACACTCAAGATTTTGGGTTTTAGCTTTTATTTGGATTATGGCCAATGGATTGGCCAATTGATTTCTATCAAGGCAGTGTATTTTCCAATAGATTTGAAAATTGATTGGGGACCCATTAGTCAATCAATTCTTGCAAAAAAAGTGATAACACCAATCAATTAGCCAATCATTTTGGAGCCCATGGCCATGACAAACAAACAAAAACAAAACATGCCAAAGTTTGACATCCTTGTATAATCTGCTTAAATATTGTATACAATCAAATCATAGTGAATCTATTAGGTACTAGGCAATGTTCCAATCTCACAATCATTTGTGCAATCAATTGTTTTGTACTCTTGCAATATGGATGCATTTTATGCCGAATAGATCGGCATCCAAAATCAAATTTACAACCTTACACATCAATAATCTACACATACATGGATTACCAAAATCAAATTTACATTCACATTACATCATCTATAAAGAAACTATCCAAATTACATCACATTTATAAAAACAAATAGTCATTGGTAACGTTTATAAGATTTATTTTTCGTTTATTTTTATTTTTTTTTTTTTGCTACTAATTATTTAGTCACCAAAAATCTTTGATTTCTTTTGGCTACCAAATATTTAGTTGTCAAAAAACCTTGATTTCCTTTTGACTACCAATTTGGTTCGTCGTCAACAACTTCACTTCTTTTTGGCTACTAAATGTTTAGTCACTAAAAACTTTCTTCAGTTTTGTTTTATATTAATTTCGCCGTATATTTATTCTATGCAACCTGTACCCTGTATATAAACAAAATAATAACAATCTAAGAAAATTTAACTTTTAATGTCAAATTCAAAATATAATAGAAATTCCATACAAACCAAGCATAATCTAATTTAAAATAATAATTCTATACAAAACAGAGGATTATACAAAAACTATGTCTTCTGTACACAAAAAAAGAAATATCCACTATACCATGTCAAATGGTAATTTGTACCACGCCAAATGTAATATGTTCTATGCCAAAACTAATTTGTACGACGTCAATAGTTATCTGTACGAACAATAATAATCCACAAAAAATAAAGGACAACATAATAACAGATTATAAAAAAAAGCAATGTCCTCCACACACAAATAAAGAATATTCACATTTCTACGCCAAAAACCATCTGTAAAAATAAAATTAACCATTAGTATTGATTGAATAACACTATCATTCCAAATTATAAAAGAAAATTATATAAAACTAGAATGTATATAATGTTTTCAAAATTGTGTATTTATAGTCATAATCGTATGTTGCATGTCCAGACAAGTTTCTCCCAAGTTTTCCCCTCCCGAAATGCAATTTTTTAGTTTAGTTTAAGGCATTTTCAACTTTAACTCCCAACCTCTGTCTCCTACTCCCAAGTTTTCCCCTCCCGGGGGCTATTTTGAATTTTCGCCCTCAAAACGTCCCTTTTCGTCTAAGTTTAAGGCATTTTCGGTTTAACTCCCAACCTATGGGTCCGAATTACATTCCGTCTATTGTCACCTAAATTATTTTTCATGGGGAACCTGTCCATGAGAGCCACACCGTGGTTCGGGGGCTGTTTTGAATTTTCGCCCCTGGAAAGCCCTCTTTCAACTAAGTTTAAGGCGTATTTGGTTCTAACTCCCAACCTATGAGCCCGAATTACATGCCGTTAGTTGTCACAAGTCCTATTTATCAAGGGGAAGCTGTCCGTGAGAGCCACACGGTGGTTCGGGGGCTGTTTTGAATTTTCGACCCTGAAACGCCCTTTTTCGACTAAGTTGAAGGCGTTTTCGGGCCTAACTCCAAGCCTACGCATCCTAATTACATTCCATCAATTGTCACAAGTCCTATTTGTCAAGGGGAAACTGTTCGTGACAGCTACACGGTGGTTTTGGGGTTGATTTGAATTTTTGACCCCGAAATGCCCTTTTTAAACTAAGTTTAAGGCAATTTCGAGTCTAACTCCAAGCCTACGCATCCTAATTACATTCCGACAGTTGTCACAAGTCCTATTTGTCAAGGGAAAGCTGTCCATGAGATCATCACGGTGGTTCGGGGGTTGTTTTGAATTTTCGCCCCCGGAACGCCGTCTTTTGACTAAGTTTAAGACATTTTCGGGTCTAACTCCAAGCCTACGCATCCTAATTACATTTCGACAGTTGTCACAAGTCCTATTTGTCAAAGGGAAGCTGTTGGTGAGATCCACATGGTGGTTTGGGGGTTATTTTGAATTTTTGCCCCCGGAATGCCCTCTTTCGACTAAGTTTAAGGCATATTCGGCTCTAACTCCCAACCTATGGGTCCGAATTACATGTTGTCAGTTGTCACAAGTCCTATTTGTCAAGGGGAAGCTGCCCATGAGAGCTACATGGTGGTTCGGGGGTTGTTTTGAATTTTTGACCTCGAAACGCCCTTTTTTGATCAAGTTTAAGGCGTTTTCGGGTCTAACTCCAAGCCTACGCGTCCTAATTATATACCGTCAGTTATCACAAGTCCTATTTGTCAAGGGGAAGCTGTCCGTGAGAGCCACACAGTGGTTCGGGGGCTGTTTTCAATTTTCGCCCCCAGAATGCCCTCTTTCAACTAAGTTTAAGGCGTATTCGGCTCTAACTCCCAACCTATGGGTCCGAATTACATGCTGTCAGTTGTCACAAGTCCTATTTGTCAAAGGGAAGCTACTTTATGGGTCCGTATCAGATTTCATAGCACAAAAGGTTTTTATTGCAATTATGACTTACAGTCTTTCGCATAACTGGATCATGATAGTGAAGTTGCAAACTATTTTCATGGGTCCCATCTAAAATTAAATTGTAGTCATCGCTGGATAGTTGGCAATCATTGAACAGTCAAGATAGATGACCTTTCGCTAGAAATGATGAAAGAAAAAATGAAAGTTTTAACTGGAGTTCTTAACCTACCGGTTAGAAATCATGGAGTGCAGAAAGTCAAATTCATTGGAGATGCTGCTGCAGCCACTAGCTGTCTTCTTTTCTCGTTTTACTTTTCTCTTTTGAAAAATCTATCCAGAAAAAAAAACGGTAATAGTAATAAAAAGAGAATTTATATGCAAATTGATAATGCCGAAAATGACAATTAAACAGTTTTATAGATTATTGTTTTACCTCTGTCCATACGTCAAAAACACTTTTTAAGGTGTCCTTCCGGCCAACCAGCTGAGAACTGATCTCCAACTAAGAACCAACAAACCATGCAAATTATGTTTGCAGGAGATCAATCAAGAGAATAAACATGTATCAAGAAAAATCCCAAGAAACTTTTCATGAGAAAGACTTGATCTTCGCCGAATGGTATTATTTCTTTAAGTGTCAATTACCATTTGAATGCTTCTTCCTTATTTTTGTTATCTTTCTATATAACTACTAGCCTTTTTATTGGTTTGAATGCTTCTTCCTTCTTTAAGTGTCAAATTTTTACCAAAATATTGGTTTTACTTTAACATTGATGCTTTCTTTGTCATTTCTTTTTCTTGTTCACCAAAATAAACAAAAAAACTAAACAGTAGTGTATTCATACCAAATAAACAAACAAATAAATAACTAGTAGATGGAATATAACAACCAAATAAATTCAAACAAATAAATATTAATGAATCGAACATTGAGTCTTACATTATTAAGCTGAAGTAGTCTTGAAGTGTGCATCTGTGAACATGCATCACTTTTGAAATCATCTTCATCTGATTCTGAAAATGATTCTGTGAAGGCAGGAATAACACGGAGAAAAGAGAATAAGCCTCGACGACGTCGCTTCAATGAATTGCCTTCGTTAAACATTACATGTTCTGCAACAAAATCTTCATTTTGGGATTGTGCACCGCTTGCACTCTTGGCTGGCATATCTTCTTGAGTTGAGGCTAAGGCCTTCAATTGTTGCTGTTCCTCTATTTTTTTTTTTTATAACCGATTTGGATGCATGTCAGACACATATCCCACATACCACGAGCATCTAGAGAGTAACTAAGACTCCATACAAAAGAAGTTCAATTTAATATGGCAGAAATAAAAGTTCTTGTTCTTTATAAAACTTCTTAAAAATAGAGGTCTGAGATGAGGTGAGAAGCACTTACCACTGACCGCCAAGGGAACAACCACAAAGTGAGGAATATTCCGAACCTTTTCATTCTCCATCTGCAGGTACACGACAGAGTCCCAGAAATAACATATTTGTGAGCTAAAAGTTTATCTTGAAGGCAAATTGGACAAGCAACTAAAACAATGAAAGAGATGCAGTAAGGTGAGCAGTCAGTTGTAGGAGGCAAGTTTAACCTACAACTTTTTATGCTGTATAAATTCATCAGATGTGTTTTAAAGATACAACACAAACAAAATTGCATGTGAGGAGAAGCAGAAGTTCAATTTCACAGAAAGTAGAATTTCAGAGACATGCCAACACGACAAAACTGATAGATTTTGCAAGCACAATAAACCCATGTATATCAGGTCGCTCTATCAAACTCAACAAGAATATACCTTCAGTTCATGCAGATTCCAACGGTTTAGACCAGTGGATCTTGAAATAGATACAAAGGGAAGGTCACTCGCTTGTACAATCATCATACAACCATTACTGGAGCTTTCAAAACTGGTAGTTGATTCGTTTAATAATAGTACGATTTGACTTTCCTGTTTTCGACAACAAAAGGTCATATAGACAACCAGTTACGAAAATTAACGGCATAAACATGGAAACTCTTAAGATCATTACTTTATATAGACAGAGATCCACACAGTGGTAGCCATCAGGAACGGATAACAAGACAGCTTCCAGTGAGGCATTTCCCTTCTTTACACTTTCTCAAGCAAGTCTTATCAAGAGCACCTCTTCTTTTTCTGCTACTACCACTGAGGTAACTTTTTTTATTTTTAATTCTAGACTTCCATTATTATGCATTAATCTCTACATTAATGTGACCAGGCCAGGAGTTCTCCAATGGACTTAACTCCATATTTGCTAAAAAAGACCAGTGCCTTTTAGTTGTCAATAGCCAGTACTACCTATGAAGAAGAGCAACCAATCCAAATATGGTTCCCCTTTCTCCAAGTTAATATCCTGTCCTTCAGAGAAAATGTTCCAGTTATGAGATTCTCCTGTATTAAGTGGTGGTCAACTAAAATGTGCTTGAAGTTGCTACAATTGCGATAATAAAGAAGCCGTATCATCATGCTCTATATTAATGGTTTAGATTTACAAATCATCATGCCAATCAACATCTCATAAACATAAATGGCAAAATGGGTGGATTGGGGCCCACACCAATTGAAGATGCGAGCCCCACTCCCATTGAGAGTAAACGGTAGAAAATAGAGCATCTGTAATCTTATTCAAAATTTGATTGATAGCCACCCCTTCCAACACAAAAGGTGATAGAGATCTAGTTCTTTAGATCATCCACTTACGATGATATCAACGCAACTAAGAAGGTTTTTATTTTTTTATTTTTTTAAAATTTTTTTTTTAACTATGCACCAACTCATAGTCATAGCTATTATTTAAATTTTTTTATTTTTTATCAGCAAGTCATGGCTAATAAATTCCACAATGACAAGAAAATGAGAACTATTTCAAACATACAAAAGAGGAATTACAAAGAAAACTTGTATTAAGTTCCACGAATTTCAAAGAAAAATAGATATTCAATTATCATACAACCTAGCATGTATCAAATTTGAAAGACAACCTTATGTGTTGAAGGACATACCTGGTAGTATGATACTGATGTAGGAAAACTTAAGGACGCAGATTTTGGTGAAGATGCAACTGGAAACAGTCGCAACAAATCCTCAAAAAGTATCTTCTTGGAAATTGTAGTAAAGGGCACTTCGAAGGCCTGCTTGAACCTGCCAATGTGGAGTGATGATATAAGGCATTAATAACTAGAAACAAGCCACATGACTATTCAGTTAAGATTTCTCAGAGTAAAAGAAAGAAAGAAAAAAATCCTAATTTTTTAAGAAAGACTAGAGAACGAACTCTTCTAAATGTGTGTCCATTTTGGACACTCAACACTTGGGTAAGGGTATGGGATATGTGTTCAGTTAAGAAGCATGGACACTTCTGCAAAGGAAGCATGTCATGTCCAACATCCATGTCCGACACCGACACTCTTCAGACACTTCTTCAAAGTGTCTTAATTAAAAAAACAAATCCATGACAGTGGACACTTCACCAAAACTTCGTGGATACTTCAGCGACACTTTTTGAACCCTCCAAATACCTCCTAATTTCTACTGGGCTGTGGCTCACCCTATATGGGAATATCATTTTCAGGTGCAGGAAGCATGCCACCTCCAAGGACATAGCTGGGAGGCTAGTGGCGGACATACTTTTGTCGCTTAACTTTTGATGTATTACATGTAACTTCAAGCCTAGGGCTTAATGTGTAAACGAGTTAGTACTCTTTTGTTGTAACCAAGTGTTAACTTAGAAAGCTGTAAGCCCGTAGGGCATTTTGTTTTTGATGTTAACATGTAATACTTATGAATGAAACTCTAAGGAATAAAAGAATATGGTTAGTTCATATGTAAATGCATGTCTTATCTGATGGGTTTATTGTTGTTATTTTGAGGGCGTTACATATATATTTATGATATATAATATATTTTTCAAAAATAAAATTTTAACGTATCCCAAACGCGTGGTGTCCTACAATTTTTGGAAACCGACGTGTAGGCTTGCTTGTGTCTATGATACTTAGGTGTCCATTGTGTGTAATTGGACATTTACCCAAAAAATGTCTTGTAATTCTAGTTTACCATATAATTATGCATGAAGCTTCCATGTAATGTGTGGAATGCTCTATGTCACCTTGAAAACACGATTCCAACTTAGTATATTTAAAAAAAAAAAAAAAGAATATTAAGAAACATGAATATTTTGTGGTGTCCCTGCATGAATAGAAATGGAAATTAGATAAACCGAACACTTCGACACATATCCGTACAACCGTATCAAAATCCATGTAACATAGATGAGCAACAATTACTTCAACATTGTGTTCTCCATTGAATATTACTCTTTATTTTAATGTTTGATGGAAGAAAGAGTGAAGATCAATATTTAAAAAAAGAATCTAAATCTTCCCTTTAGTCAGAAGCCTTAGAAATAAATTGCCATTATTTGTTACAAAGTTTCTATTGAGACTAAGTGAAGATCATGTATGCCAAAAAATGTGAATGGGAGAAAGGAATACCAAGATTCCATTTGCTGAAATTCTTTAGCTAGTGTCCTTTGCAAGTATCCAGTGTCTAAAAATCCCCCAAATTGAACTAATTCTTTGACTCTTTTCATAGTTTCCCTGAAGAATCAAGTAAAACAAAATTAATTACTGATCAATCATCAAAGTGCATGCATAATGAGAAGAAGAAAATAATTGAAAGGCGTACCTTGGAATGAGGCCAAGCCATGAATATATATTGCATGAATATTTACAAATTAAGAAAAATAATCAAAGGCACTAAATCTATGCCTTCATTGAAAGAGAGAGAGAGAGAGAAGCATAATTCTTACAGTTTTATCCCTCAACACATTGAAGGCATCCTTATGACACCACACTCTGCTGCGCTTTCCAGGTTCCTTTTGTGATTCCCGGCGAACAATTTCCCTACCCATGTCTTTAAGCACTTAGTGCATTATCAGCTTGTTATCTTTATTAACTTCTATGAGACCTCTATGAGTGAGATTTTGAATACCAATTGTTATGGAGAAATCACATTCCTTTAGTATTTTAACTGTGTAATCTTTGTCCTTTCCAACAAAGAAACTGTCGCGACCCCAACCCGCCCCCATAGGTCTAAGATCGTAACCAGCCAGTAATCTGTGATTACCAAAGGCCTAAATGACAAAGCAAACAAAAGGGGGCTAGCGGAAGTTATTATGTAAAAACAAAACATCCATTGAGCTATGCATTCAGATGACATTGCTATACATATATATATAGACACATAAATACACGCATAAGTACAACAACCATTACACGTTCGTCAGAAAAATATAAGGAGAAGGGGAGAAAGATACTCCTATGACAACAGTTATAATATTAAAAACCACATGACCAAAACACATGAATGCATAACAAAAGGGTGAACATCGGCTCGATTCAAACTTAAGTAGGTGGGGAACCTCGCGGTGAGGCTCGATGGTTGGCTTGGCAAAACTCGAGTAAGACCGATGCCACTACGTTCTTTCTTGAGTTGGATCACCTACAAGGCATGCCAAAATGTGAGCTAGACCCAGTGAATAACAGCTGAGTGAGGAGATTATGAATGACAATTATAATGTAAAATGACACACAAACTAAACAAGCGTATTCAATATTTAAAAAGCATAACATTTCACATGGCGTGTACCAAAAGCAGCAAATACAGGCGGTCTGGAAAGGACGAATAGACGGTCATGGGGACCGGACAGACGGTCAAGAAAACCGAACAGGTGGTCATAAGACCGAAAATCAGGTTTCATAGTCAACCTCACATTAAATAGGAGTTCCGAAAGATGGAACTAAGGGATCTATAAGTGTTAATGGTACCAAATGGCAAACACTGAGAATCATGGTAAAATCATCTTTCATTATCATAGGAATCCTTGAAGATAAATATATGTTTGAGGCAGAAGAAGATAATCAGGATTAAACATATTTATACAGAAGTGTTACTCACAGTCCGTTTTGTGTTGCAGACGGTTGGAATGAGGCGGTTGACCTACACAAACAGATATAAGCATAGAACACTTAATTTCCACACAACTAGCTAATTAGTTTCATTGCTTAAGCGTTCGTTGGTTTAAAAGTCGTTCACCTTTGTTAGATGCTTTTACATTGCAAATGAACACTAATTATAGATGTAAATTATGGTGACAAAGGCTCGAGAGTGGGGAAAATAACACAGAAAAATGAAACCGAGGTTGCAAAGCTGCCGCACGTGCGGAGGTCCTTAGCCACACGTGCGGGACCCCATCTGCACGTGCGCCCCTACGTGCTTTTATTACAGAATGCATCATCCTCCACCCCTATTTTCTGCACTTGCGGGCCTACCCACTGCACGTGCGCTGATGCTCTCCCGCACGTGTGGGCTCTCCAGCCGCAAGTGCGATTCTGGGTGCTCCAGAACCGAGTTTCAGCTCTGTTTTTGGGGTTCCAAACTCCACAAAATCAAACTCAAAATTGCTCAAATTAAAGACCAAAATTTAACAATCATGATACACAAACAATTTTCATGTTCCACTCAAAAGTAGACCTTTAAATTCAACCTCAAGCTCAAGAATTTCGTCAACTTCAAAATTGGGTGAAGCTTAATGATTCAACAAAATTATAGAAACCTAACTCAGGGTCAAGCAAGATCAAATAGATGAGCTCTAATTTCTTCAAAATTTGGAGACTTCTTCTTGTTAGGGTTTTTAATTTAATTAACTACCCTAGCTTTCAAGCTTCCCATTTGTTTCTCATACCCCATGAGTTCAAGGTGAAAATTAGCCTTATGCAAGAGATTAGAAAGAAATGGTACCTCAAGGAGCTAAGTTAATCAATTTGCTCAAGATCTCCTTCACCTCCTTCACTTCTCTTCTTTCTCTCTAGAACTCTCTCACACTCTCTTATCTCTCCCTCTTTTTGTCCAACATCAATTCATATATAAATATAAATAAACAAAACAAAGATGTAAGCATCCATACCTAACTATGGAATATTGACTTCATTAAATTAGTTAATTCTATTAAATTAGAAATACACCTACAAAATGCTAACTGAACTCTTCGACATCGGCTCGGTTCAAACTTAAGTAGGTGGGGAACCTCGCGGTGAGGCTCGATGGTTGGCTTGGCAAAACTCGAGTAAGACCGATGCTACTACGTATTTTCCTGAGCTGGATCACCTACAAGGCATGCCAAAATGTGAGCTAGACCCAGTGAATAACAACTGAGTGAGGAGATTATGAATGACAATTATAATGTAAAATGACACACAAACTAAACAAGCTTATTCAATATTTAAAAAGCATAACATTTCACATGGCGTGTACCAAAAGCAGCAAATACAGGCGGTCTGGAAAGGACGAATAGACGGTCATGGGGACCGGACAGACGGTCAAGAAAACCGAACAGGTGGTCATAAGACCGAAAATCAGGTTTCATAGTCAACCTCACATTAAATAGGAGTTCCGAAAGATGGAACTAAGGGATCTATAAGTGTTAATGGTACCAAATGGCAAACACTGAGAATCATGGTAAAATCATCTTTCATTATCATAGGAATCCTTCAAGATAAATATAAGTTCGAGGCAGAAGAAGATAATCAGGATTAAACATATTTATACAGAAGTGTTACTCACAGTCCGTTTTGTGTTGCAGACGGTTGGAATGAGGCGGTTGACCTACATAAACAGATATAAGCATAGAACACTTAATTTTCGCACAACTAGCTAATTAGTTTCATTGCTTAAGCGTTCGTTGGTTTAAAAGTCGTTCACCCTTGTTAGATGCTTTTACATTGCAAATGAACACTAATTATAGATGTAAATTATGGTGACAAAGGCTTGAGAGTGGGGAAAATAACACAGAAAAATGAAACCGAGGTTGCAAAGCTGCCGCACGTGCGGAGGTCCTTAGCCGCACGTGCGGGACCCCATCTGCACGTGCGCCCCTACGTGCTTTTATTACAGAATGCATCATCCTCCACCCCTATTTTCTGCACTTGCGGGCCTACCCACTGCACGTGCGCTGATGCTCTCCCGCACGTGTGGGCTCTCCAGCCGCAAGTGCGATTCTGGGTGCTCCAGAACCGAGTTTCAGCTCTGTTTTTGGGGTTCCAAACTCCACAAAATCAAACTCAAAATTGCTCAAATTAAAGACCAAAATTTAACAATCATGATACACAAACAATTTTCATGTTCCACTCAAAAGCAGACCTTTAAATTCAACCTCAAGCTCAAGAATTTCGTCAACTTCAAAATTGGGTGAAGCTTAATGATTCAACAAAATTATAGAAACCTAACTTAGGGTCAAGCAAGATCAAATAGATGAGCTCTAATTTCTTCAAAATTTGGAGACTTCTTCTTGTTATGGTTTTTAATTTAATTAACTACCCTAGCTTTCAAGCTTCCCATTTGTTTCTCATACCCCATGAGTTCAAGGTGAAAATTAGCCTTATGCAAGAGATTAGAAAGAAATGGTACCTCAAGGAGCTAAGTTAATCAATTTGCTCAAGATCTCCTTCACCTCCTTCACTTCTCTTCTTTCTCTCTAGAACTCTCTCACACTCTCTTATCTCTCCCTCTTTTTGTCCAACATCAATACATATATAAATATAAATAAACAAAACAAAGATGTAAACATCCATGCCTAACTATGGAATATTGACTTCATTAAATTAGTTAATTCTATTAAATTAGAAATACACCCACAAAATGCTAACTGAACTCTTCTTTTCTAATTATGGAAAATTAAGCTCTAAGCACTTGGTCCACTAGTTAATTCATAACCTTACCATTTAACGAATCAGACAGGTCTTTTTCATAAGGAACATATCTAATAGCAACCATGATGCACATAAATAAGCATATAGGGTGCAGATAAAGACACAAGTAATATTAACCATAAAAATAATAAGGAAGTAAGAGGCAGGTGTTACAAAAACAAGCAATATCAAGGAATAAATTTTTCTCATGATCATCTAAAGAATCATAACTTATTTTAAGCACATTATGAATTTTCTCGGGAAAATGTGTTCTTAATTTTGCTAATGCACTTTCTCTCCACATCAATAGTTTCACCAGACAGAGAAGAGCCCAAGACTTCCAGAGCTAGCGCAAGGCCACCACAGTGGTGTATTACCCTTTTTGAGTGCTCCATGTAAGCTTCAATAGGTTTGTCTTGTCCAAAGGCATGCCGACTGAAGAGACAGAGTGCTTCATCATCATTCAATTCCTTAACCACATACGACTTGTATACTTCATCAGCCTTTAGCAATTGCACATGTCTAGTAGTTATCATAATCTTACTTCCTGGATGAAGCCAATCTTGCATCCCCAATAATGCATTTACTTGGTCCAAATCATCAACATCATCAAGAACAACTAGAACTCTTTTACAGCACATAGCATCTTTAATCTTATTGATTCCCTCAGCAACACAGTATATTCTTCCCTTATTCCACATCAGAATATCTGAAACAAGTTGTCTCTGCAAACAAACCAAACCGTTAGGTTGTTTTGCAGTTTCTCTAATATTTGCAAGAAAACTGCTACCTTCAAATTTGTCGAAGTTTTGGTTATAAATAATTTTTGCGATGGTTGTCTTCCCTATTCCACCCATCCCACATATCACCATTACGCTGACATTGTTCAACCCACCTTGGAACCATAGATTAATGTCTTTTACATGAGAATCTATTCCAGTTTGATAGGGGGTAACACTTAAGACTGTGAAATCCAATTTACTCACAATCTCCTGAACAATTATTTCGATAAACTTTGACTCATGCCTGCACATTGCGTTCAAAATAGAAACTAACCGAATTAAGCATGTCATGAACTGAGATGAGATGATAATTTTCGAGATTATTATAATTAAGAGAGTAAATTATACATCATAAAAGGTGGGGGGGGAGGTTGGCTGCCTACTACCTCTCCCAAAACCTACAATAAGTGGGAGCCTTGAGCGCTGGGAACAAACTTTTCTTTTCTTTTTAAAAGTTCTCAATGGTTAATTTAACCCTATTACTGCACCAGAAAGATCTTCCAGGAATTTTAGCATTTGGATTGGCGAAATGTTAGTGGTAAATTGCTATAAGATTTTAGGGGTTTGTAATGGCAGTAAGACAGGCTTGGATTAACCAGTCCAAGTCCAAATCCAACCAAGTATCTCAATGTAAAAGAGAACCTGTTTTTAATATAGAGGAAGGGAGAGAAAGAGAGAGAGAAAGAGAGAAAGAGAGAGAGAGAGAGACCGAGATCGACAGAGACGGAGAGACCGAGATAGACGGATCGACAGAGAGATCGACAGAGAGAGAGAGACCGAGATCGACGGAGATCGACAGAGAGAGACCAAGATCGACGGAGATCGACAGAGAAGAGACAGAGATCGACAGAGAAAGACCAAGATCGGCAGATAGAGAGAAAAAAAAACCTACAACAGCGGCGGTGATGATTTGCAGCGGTGGCGATGTGCAACGGTGGCGTACGACGGTGGCCAGCAATGGTTGGGTAGTGAGCGGGGGTGAGGTTTGGTGGTGACTGTTCTCTGTGTGTGTGGGTGAGAGACAAAACAGAGAAACCGTTGGTGGTAACTGTTCAGTGGTTGTCCCAATTTGTTTATGAACCCTTTGAAATGTTACTTCTTTTGTGTTTATGAACACTTTGAAATGAACGCTTTGAAATGTTACTCCTTTTGTGTATATGAACACTTTGAAATGAACACTTTGAAATGTTACTCTTTTTGTGTTAATGAACACTTTGAAATGTTACTCTTTTTGTGAAATAATTTTTTTATAAAATTTATACCTTTTGTAAAAATGAAATTTATACATTTTGTAAAAATGAAACTTACAAAATGAAACTTTCATGAAAATGAAATTTATACCTTTTCTGAAAATTTACATTTTTTTGTGGAAATAGTTACACCGTTTCTGAAAAGTTACTCCTTATGTGAAATAATTTTTTCCATAAAATTTACACTTTTTGTAAAAATAAAACTTACACATTTTGTAAAGTTATTTACATCTTTTGTGAAATAACTTACACTAATTCTGAAAAGGTACGCCTTTTGTGAAATAATTTCTTTTATAACATTTACACCTTTTGCTAAAACTTAGACATTTTTTGAAAATTTACACTTTTTCGTGGAAGTACTTAAACATTTTTTGAAAAGTTACTTCTTTTGTGAAATAATTTTTTTATAAAATTTACACTTTTAGTGGAACTTACGTAAAATGAGTAACTTTGTGAAACTTACACCTTTTTTGTAAACTTTTATGAAAAAAATTATTTCATAAAAGGAGTAACTTTTGAGAAAAGATGTAAGTATTTCTACGAAAATGTGTACATTTTCAGAAAAAGTGTAAGTTTTAGCAAAATGTATAAATTTTATGAAAGAAATTCCTTTTGTGAAATAATTTTTTTCATAAAATTTATACCTTTTGTAAAAATGAAATTTATACCTTTTTTGAAAATTTACATTTTTTCGTGGAAATAGTTACACCGTTTCTGAGAAGTTACTCCTTTTGTGAAATAATTTTTTCCATAAAATTTACACTTTTTGTAAAAATGAAACTTATACATTTTGTGAAGTTACTTACATCATTTGTGAAATAGCTTACACTAATTCTAAAAAAGTTACGCCTTTTGTGAAATAATTTCTTTTATAACATTTACACATTTTGCTAAAACTTAGGCATTTTTTGAAAATTTACACCTTTTCGTGGAAGTACTTAAACATTTTATGAATTTTTTTTTCCACAAAAGATGTAAGTGACTTTAGAAAAGGTTTAAGTTTGGTTTTCACAAAAGGCGTAAGTTCCAAGAAAAAAGTATAAATTTTATGACAAAAATTATTTCACAAAATGAGTAACTTTTCAAAAAAGGTGTAAGTATTTCCACAAAAATGTGTAAATTTTATGAAAGAAATTTTTTCACATATGGTGTAACTTTTCAGAACATGTGTAACTTGTTTCACAAAAGATGTAAGTATTATGTGTAAGTTTTCAAAAGTTACACCTTTGGTAAGTAATTTCACAAAAGGAGAAGTGTTCACAAAAGGTGTAAGTAATTTCACAAAATGCGTAAGTTTTCAAAAAAATGTGTAAGTTTTCACAACAAGCGTAAGTTTTCACAAAAGGCGTAAGTTTTCAAAAATACTTACGCCTTTTTCTAAAATTACTTACACCTTTTGTGAAAACTTACACATTTTCTGAGAACTTACACCTTTTTGTGACCATTTACACCTTTAGTCATATAATATACTATTTTATTGATTTACCTGGAAAGTGACCTGCTTAGCAGGTCACCAATGTGTAAGTTTTCAAATATTTTGATATAACTCAATACATAGAAATATGTAAATACAAAATAGAAAGGATGTAAGTGCCTTGCATACCATATGCAAGGCAAACCTAAGAAAAGTCCATAAAATTAAATGTGCCTTTTCTTTACCAAATCATATTTTAAAGTTTTCTATTGGTGTCAAAGATGTATATCTAGATTAGATTTATTCTTATATGAGTTACCATAAATTTAAATATGCACTGTTAATGTACTTTTTCACAACATATAATTTTTTCGTAATGACTTGTTTAACGGCCCGTCATCCAACAAATCACGTAAAGAAAATGTTTAGGCTTTACATATGTCACATTAGGGCATATCTTTTTTTGTATGATCACAGTTTCTGTCTAGTCCACATGACTGTTCAATTAGAACTGTAGAGCCTGCCATGTGCTAGGCTCGACTTTAGTAATGTAATTCGTTCATTTTTATCTCTCTATATAGATCGTTTATAGAAAAGAAAATAGATAAATTTAAGGCGACTTATTTTCAAAACTATTCTTGAAATCTATTTTTTTTTTTTTAAAGAAAAATATGAATAAAAAATATGACTGCAATAATCAGATTGATTTTTTTTCACGATCAACACATAAATACTTACAAAACAAACAAATTAAATTACTAGAATCGAATTTAACTCAATTGTCCGGTTCACATTTGTGGATTGATGAGGTGCTAAACTCTTCTTTTATATATGTAGAGAGAAGAAAACTGTATAAGCGAAGAAAATCATAAAGCCTTTTATTGCCACAAAGGAAATTTCTCTTTTTCCTTTTCTTTTTTTGGATTAAACTGAGATAATTTACTAAAAGAGCTTAAGAGTACACAAGTCTAGGGTATAAAACTCCATTAGTATCATCATACAACTGGTTTACAATGGATAAAGGAATGTGATCAAAACAATGTAAACTCATTGTTGTAGTGTATCCCATGTTAGTTGTAATATCTGCGCATTTATTAACTTCACGGTAGATATGATTAGTTGCTTAAACTCCTAACCTCTTCATGGGAGACCTGCAATCAAAGATGAGACTACTAAGATGGTGATGCATAGTAGAATCTGAATCTTTCATGAGTAATTTTTGCGTCAATCGTGAATCAATTTCAATCTCAATATTTGTGAAATTTTTTTCCCAAGCTATATTTAGTCCATCTCTTAAATCCCTTCAGTATACACATATGCACTGTATTATTTTTCTGATATACATTATATATTTTTATAGCAAATATTATGTAATCTTTTCGTAGGGATACGGTAATTTATGATTCAGAAATGAAATTATATATTTTGTGATAATGTCACTTTTTTTTTTTTATTGAAACGCTTTCTAACCACAAAAATGCATAAACATTATAACAAAAATACATAATTTTATTTTTAAATCACAAATTGTCAAAATTCTATCAAAAATTACGTAACATTTATTACAAAAATACATACCATATTCTAAAAAAAATACATAATAGATACAGAAGCTTATCATAAATTTGTAAGCAAAGAACCAGGTATGTCCATTTGCTTCACTTCTTTTCAGAGTTATGAAATATGTTATATTATTTAAGGAAAGGGGGGTTTCTAACTCACAAGTCTTGTGTGTAACACCCCGAAATATTTACGTAAGAAGGACACGAGATTACCCACAATCAAGATCTTGATTCCAACGCAATCACTTACAGAACATGCATGGATATATATAGACTATACTGTTTCATCCATAGCATTATCATTAAATGTCAAATATGTATATTCATTAAGACATCAAGAGATTTACGAAAGTTCCACATGCCAGTATATATTCAACATTTCTAGAATATGAATCTATAGCATGTGGCGATATCAGTCAAGTGCAAATTAATGCCCTCAAGGGCTACAAATTCCAAGGCTTAAGTCCGGTTACATAAAAGTGATTTTTAAACCCATACATATTAAGCCCTTGACTTATCCAAAATAATTACAACCAAAAAGGGTAAGAGCCTTGTACTCTCAAGATACATTCCACGCCTTTAATTTGGCGGAATCACCCCATCCTTTCCTGCACAAGATCCCATAGGGTGAGCACAAAGTCCAGTAGAGAAATCTATTGTAACGCCCTCAAATTAACAACATTAAACCCATCAGATAAGATATGCATTTACATATAAGCCAACCACATTCTTTTATTCATTAAAGTTCCATTACATAAGTATTACATGTTAACATCAAAACAAAATGCCCTACGGGCTTACAGCTTTCCAAGTGAACACTTGGTTACAACAAAAGAGTACTATCTCGTTTACACATTAAGCCCTTGGCTTGAAGTTACATATAATACATCAAAAGTTAAACGACAAAAGTATGTCCGCCTCTAGCCTCTCAGCTATGTCCTTGGAGGTGGCATGTTACCTGCACCTGAAAATGATATTCCCATATAGGGTGAGCCACAGCCTAGTAGAAATACACTAA